TCATATCATTGTGGAAGAATAGTGGGCTTGAATTTGGTTGTCAGGATGACACCTTGCTCTGAGGATGATCGTCATGTGGAGGACGAAAGCTTAGCACCTTTTCACGGGAATCGAAGGAAACAGCGTTGACAAGAATGTTGCAGTAAAGCCAATCGACAGCTGGTCAAGAGTAATGCGCTATCGTTTTCCGATGAAACCGACCTTCGAATCCCTTCAGCCAACACTTTCTCTCGAAATGGAAGTGAGCTCGTATCCCTTAAGGATACGAGGATGGCTACCAAAGATTAGTGTCTCATTTCAGTCACCTGCTTGAACAAGGCAGCCTGTCCGGCATCCACTTGGTCCATACAGAAGAGAGGTTTCAGTTGTGGTTGGATGGGCCCAGAAGTCTACCTTTGATTCCTTAATCCTGACCGTATTTACATACACTCCCTCTTTCCCTTTTCACCCAAACCAACAGACAGTTTCGTCCGAGGAGGCGCGCGCGGATCGGCCGAACGGGACGTCGGATCTGGTGGACCCGGTGACGGGGGTTCGGTCGCTCACCTACTGGCACAAACTGATCACCCTCATCGTTTCTGTGATTGAGGACGACAGCAAGCACTACGCCTCAGTGCTCAACCAGTACGTCTCCGTCTCTCTCTCTCTCTTTCTCTTTCTCTAGCTCTCTATCTACCCTTCTCACTCTGTCTATCTCTATCTCTATCTTGCTCTCTCTATCCCTCTATTTCTACATCGACCTATATCTCTTTCTCTCTCTATCTCGCTATTTCTACCTCTATCTATAGCTTTTTCTATCTATATATCTCTATTTCTCACGCGCTCTATCCATCTTTCTCTCCTCTCCTTCTATCTTTCTCTCTCTTTCTATCTCAATCTCTATCTTCCTCTCTCTATCTATATCTCTTTATCTCTATATATCTCTCTTTCTCTCACGCTCTATCCATCTTTCTCTCCACTCCTCCTATCTTTCTCTCTCTGTCTATCTCAACTGTATCTTTCTCTCTTTGTCTATCTTAACTCTATCTTTCTCTCTCTATCTCGCTATTTCGACCTTTATCTATATCTCTTTATCTCTTTATCTCTATATATCTCTATTTCTCTCACGCTCTATCCATCTTTCTCTCCACTCCATCTATCTTTCTCTCTCTGTCTATCTCAATCTCTATCTTTCTCTCTCTATCTATATCACTTTGTCTCTATATATCTCTATTTCTCTCACGCTATATCCATCTTTCTCTCTCTGTCTATCTCAACTCTATCTTTCTCTCTCTATCTCGCTATTTCGACCTTTATCTATATCTCTTTATCTCTATATATCTCTATTTCTCTCTCTCCTTCTATCTTTCTTTCTCTGTCTATCTCAATCTTTATCTTTCTCTCTCTATCTCGTTAGTTCTATCTCTATCTCTATCTCTTTCTCTCTATATATCTCTATTTCTCTCACGCTCTATCCATCTTTCTCTCCACTCCTTCTATCTTTCTCTCTCTGTCTATCCCTATCTCTATCTCTGTCTATCTATCTCTCTATTTCTACCCTTATTTATATCTCTTTTTCTCTATATATCTCTATTTCTCTCACACTTTATCTATCTTTCCCTCTGTCTATCTATATCTCACTAATTCTACCTCTATCTATAGCTATTTCTCTCTCTATCTCTCTGTCTGTCCCTCTTTCTATATACATTTGTATCTCTATCTGGCTCTGGCTCTTCATCTCTGTCTCTTTCTTTCCGAATAGCATCTGTGCCTTTTCGCATTTTTCCAAGCCGCAACAATCTAACATGCTCTCCACTCGTACGAGTCCATTTTAGGTCACTCTTTTCAGGCTCTGCTCACTCACTTTTTTCGCCACTTACAACCGACGAAACCATCGAGTCAAACTAGAAATTCCGCTTTTGGCATAATTTAGTCAGCGCTAGCTCCGACAGAATAGCTTGAACCAGATCGTCGCGCGCCCAAGGGAGATCAGCATTTAAGCCCGCTGGCCTGAACTATCATTTCTGGACACTTGAGTCTTACTTCTGCTTGACAGATGATAGCAACTCAGATTTGCATATTGTTGACCTATTTCGCCATCGATCATCGGCAACTAGCAACCCCTCTATTGGCTCGTATGCGGGCCAACTGGCCATGGCAATGAAACGCCAATCAAAGTGGACTTTAGAAAGGGGCAAAGTTTCGTCACATCGAAAGAGAGCATTTTATTTCTACCCAAAACCACGTCGTGTGATCACATCCCAGCTTGGTGTGCCGAGGTCAAGGCTTGTGTCAGTCTTGGAGAGGAACGAGAGGCCAGTTTTCCGATGAGAGTAGGCATAGCGAACATTATGTGGAGCAAGAAGTGAAGTCTTGACCCAATAAATGCTTCTTTTTCCTTCTGAACCTTATGGGATAGGAACGGTCTAGTCCAGGCTCTATTTGGCGCCTATTCGCGAGTGTTTGGTCCAGGACAACTCTGCCAGTAATCCTCAAAGAAGGACGGAACTGTCTTGAGGGCAATAGTGGCCGGAATACACACACGACGGACCGGCACCGCGGGTCGTTGGATACTTCAGGGCTTAATTGTGAAGTTCAGTATGAAACCTACTTTTGCAAATTAAGTCTACTCTACCACGGCCGCGCTTGATTGAGTTGAGAGTGTGAAGTTTGTGTGAATGAGTCGAATTCGAGTCCAGTAGAGGACGAGGATGGGGCTAGAACGAGATCGAAATGATGTCACGACACGAAGGATACGCTTTCCTGGGTGAAATAAAGCCTCCTTTGGAGGGGTCAAAAAATGTACATAACTCCTTCACAAAACACACGGAGCCGTACTGTCTAGGTCGACTCGAAGGGCATATCGGATGGAGTTTGTGGTCCTGCAACGCAAGGATCACCATCCTGGATTTGTAATGAATAACCAAAATTAATTTCCACTCTTTACAAGCTAGAAAGTCTTGTCAGTCTGACTGTATCTCCCTTCATTGGTCTCTCCTGTTGCCAACTGTCGCGAATTACGGTCCGTCTCGAATTCTATAAACCATCTGAGTCCGGGATTCATGAATCAAATGGACTTGAGTGTGAGTGTGTGTCTGTGCGTGGAGGAGGCAGGTGTCACCATAACGTGCTGTTGAAAGATGGCGAACAACTCCATCGATGGGATTGTCGATACAGCAAAGTTGCATTTGCTATAACATTCGAGTACAACTTCGCTTCATCGTCGACCCCATCACAGAAGTTAAAATGGGAAAATATTAGGTTCTCCATGAAATGGATAACTGCCCTTCGT